CTCTCTCTCTCTCTCTCTCTCTCTCTCTCTCTCTCTCTCTCTCTCTCTCTCTGTCTCTGTCTCTCTCTCTTCCTCTCCCCCCCTGTCTCTGTCTCTGTTTTTCCCCTTCCCTCTCCCTCCCACACCTTGCTCCCGTACCCAGCTCGAATCGAATGGATATGATTAGTCCAAACGTAAGCGCCTAAGACGACAACTTCAGTCACGTTGATTCCCAACCACAAACAACCCGAGGATTCCCAGAATAGCCAATATGGCACTGCGGACAGCACGAAGACCCAATACCCCCAATCTTGACGCGAAACATACATGCCCCGATCGGCGGTGGAACTCCCAAAACAGGCGTCGCCGGGGAGGGACCCTCCCCCCTCCAGCTGCTTCTCACCATATCGGTCTCGAACAGAGGCGTCGGGGTCGGCTACCCTCGGAGCGTCTCGTGGGACAGGTCGGGAACGACCCTGGCACTGGGCACCGTCGGTAACGCCGTTGCTCTCGTGCAGCCAGGGGAGGTGAGTGAGCATGTGAGTTGAGCGCTCTCGGCTTGAGGAATCGCCCTCTAGCGGGCGATGGCACTATTATTCCGTCCGATGCCATACAGCGTAACGGTAGACGTGCGAGGGGGGGGGGCATCACGCATTGGTTGAACGAAGATCTTCGTCGACGGTGGTTCAGGAAACTATGAGGGTAGGGCGAGTTGAAAATTGTGAACAACGGCCGAATTTCTGCCTGAGTTCGAATTGGTTTGTTAGGTGTACTCAGCACTACATACAAACCAACAAGATACACGAAACCCCAGATCTCCGTAGATTGGTATCTAGTGCTGAGTACACCTTGCAATTGTTTCAACCACCATAACAAAGAAGGCATCGTTCTTTTCTGTCGGCAAACCGTGCGTACACAGAGCAACACCATAACTCTTCCACCGAACTCGAAATGGTGTCATGCGCCAGGGCACTGGTACCAGGCCTGACCGAACCATGCGAGCGACCGGAAGCGTGATGTTCATGCTGGCCGTACAGGTAGGTCTTGATACGCGGGGCAATGCGTACGCCCGTTCCGACCAACGCACGCACCATCTACCCCTGGTTGACAGAAGAAGCGGTGTCGCACGATCATTATCTCCCCCCCGTCCCTTCCCCCCCCGGTGTTTGCCATCGGGGTTGGGTTTTCGTCGCTTGGCAACGACGTTGTAAAAGAAGCCCTCCCATCGGTGTTTGCCATCGGGGTTGGGTTTTCGTCGCTTGGCAACGACGTTGTAAAAGAAGCCCTCCCATCGGTGTTTGCCATCGGGGTTGGGTTTTCGTCGCTTGGCAACGACGTTGTAAAAGAAGCCCTCCCATCGGTGTTTGCCATCGGGATTGGGTTTTCGTCGCTTGGCAACGACGTTGTAAAACAAGCCAATTCACTTCGTGAACTCGGCAACCAGGTTACCGTTTTTTTTTTTTTCCTCCGTTTATTTTTTTTGGGCGGTAACCATAATGATGGTTGAGTAGATCATGTTGTGCGGGGTGAACCCTCACTCCGCGCAAGGGGGATGATCGCACCACGTTGTGTTGAAATGGCCACGCATCCTCGAGGCAGTTACACAGTGCTTACAACCGTCCCAGGAAGNCAACGACGTTGCAAAACAAGCCAAGTCACTTCGTGAACTCGGCAACCAGGGACCGTTTATTTTTTTTCCTCCGTTTTTTTTTTGTGGTAAGCACAATGGTGGTCGAGTATATCATGTTGTGCGGGGTGGACAACCCTCACTCCGCGCAAGGGGGATGATCGCACCACGTTGTGTTAAAATGGTCAAGCACCCTCGAGGCAGTTACACAGTGCTTACAACTGTCTCTGGAAGTGAAAGCACCAGAAAATAAATTAATTCATACGCAGCTGTCATCCGTACGCAAGGAAGTAAGCACAAGATGCCGAACACCCTTAGCAGGATGCAGCGCACCCTTCATGCGACTCGCCGAATATCTCACGGCGCTTCGCGCTTGGTGATGTGAGAGCCTGGTCCGGTGAGAACCCGGCGTGCTCCGTCCCGGCTTTGTAGGGATGCGAGGTCAATGGTCTAACGACACGGCATGCACGACTATGAGTATACCCCCCCGCCCCTCGAACTGGAGGCAGTCAAACGACCCCGCTCGTCGAACTCTCTTTCGGAGAGAAGGCGAGCTGATTCCCTGTTGTTCTACATGTGTCGGCTCTCCCCAAATATGTACTACGGGAGGGGAGGAAACACACAAACTTGATCTGGCGAACGGCAACATGAACGACCAACAAGTGCTACCGTGTATGGTGCGGAGACCGTCTCCGATCTCGCGGAACCGCCCACGTGACTTGCACGCCGCTATTCGCAAACAACGCAACGTGCTCGGACGAGGAATGGATAAGACTCCACGTCCGAACTCACCGAAAAAGGACCAAACATATTTCCAATCACACGAAACCGTCGTAGGGACACAGCGACTCTTGCAAAGCCCTGGCGCCGCACCCGACCCGACCGTGGTTCATCACCGGAGGCACCGACGGCGTCCTCAGGCTCTGGGACGCTCGCTCGAGGAGGCAGCTGAGTGCCGCCAAGCTGGTGGGCAAAGTCTGCAGCGCGGCGTTCCACCCGGCAGGGTGAGCGCAAAAACACACACGCGCACGCACACACGCATACCCAAACACAGAAAGCGTATTTTCCGTGGTCCATACCACTGACGCTTCATTGATCGCTCGGCCACGTTTCATGCTGTTTATGCCAACAAAGAAACATGCACACATTTCCATCGAGGGTTGAAAACCGGTTTTGAGTACTCGGGCAGTTCTCTCGGAGCCCTGAGAGCAGGCGGCTCTTGGAGCGGGGGATCTGAGAGGAATGGGGATTCCAACACAGCAATGCGGGCAAGTCTACCCCCGCTCACTACGACGAAACACAGGCATCCGGCGAAAAGAACACCAGAGCCCGGTTGGTGCCTCCCTTTTGTCGTTCGACTCCTCTTCCCCCCACATCCCTCGTGCTTGTCCCAACCTTTCGGCAAAACCGACGACATGCTTCGAAACCAACCGACGATCAAACAGGGAGCTCGTTGCCGTAGGGAGCGAAGCCGGAGACTTTCTGCTGATGGCACTGAGACTGCCGCCGCGGCAGTCGTCCACGGCACGCCACGAGGACCCGAACCGCCGACAAGATGCCTCCGCAATAGAAGAAAGAGACGAGACGACGTTGGGTTTCTCGTGGGATGTGCTCGCTCGGAAGAGAATAATCGGTGGTGGCGGCGGCGGCGCTAGCAGTCGCGCCCCTGGTAGAACCAGCAACAGCAACAGCATCGACAGGAGAGCAACGCCGGTGGCTGAGCAAGGGAGCTTTCACAGGGATGGGGGTGCCACTAACGTCCCCGTCCCCGCAAATGCCACTTTTGCGGGCGGCGAGGAGGACTTGGCCGAAGGAGTCGGCGGCGGGGCTGCACACAACGGAGGCGGCGGCGGAGAAGGGTTTGGAGCCGACTACCGACATCGACAACCAGGACCCGTAAACTTCGCGCCAAAACCAGACAACGACGAGAACGGCGGTATTGCCGGCGCGTCACTGTCACCGCCGCGGCCTGCGAAAGGAAACAAGGACAGGCTCCCGTCACCTCAATGTCGCGGTTCATACGCGGCGATGGGGGCATCGGCGGCGGCAGCAGCGACAGCGGGGAAGGCGATGATAAGCGTCAGCGCGTTGCGCTTCTCTCCGGATGGCGGGGTCTTAGCGGCGGCGTGTGGGATGTCGATATTCCTCTACTGTGAAGCAACAGCGGCGGCACCGGCGGTGAAGGACGGGGCAGGGGCTGGAACGGCCCGGGAGGCGGCCATGGCACCCGACAGAGACGGTCGTGTCGCCGGTGATGGTTGCAGAAATGGCAGAAGAAACGACGGCACCAGTGGAATGAAAGCGAGCTACCACCGGTACGCGGTGTGCACTGGGCACGTAAGCAAGGTCAGATCCTTTGACTTCAGCCGCGACGGGTCCGTCCTGCAAAGCAACGACGCATCTGGCGAGCTCCTTTTCTGGGAAGCGTCGAGCGGAAAGCAGGTGCAAGACTCTTGATGTCCTTTTCAAAATACAAATATAGAAGTTCCTCACACCATTTAACGATATCGAGGTGCGTTTTCAAGGTTCGTGAAACGAAGACATCTTGGCTGCTGTACGATTTTCGGGGTTAAATCATTCATTCGCTCGAGTTTCGTTTCCCTGCGGTGCACCCTCGTTCGGCCTTTTGGGGTGTAGATATCCAACAGTTTCAGCTTCAGGGACGTGGAGATGGATTCGTTGTCATGCCCGGAGGGTTGGCCGGCGCAGGGATTCCGGGGCAGTTGGGTTGGTGGGGGGGCAGCGGACGGAGGAAGAGGGGAGGACGCCGGGGCGGGTGTTACAGCAGTGTGTCGTTCGAAGGCGGAGGACGTGATGGCGGTGAGTAGGTGTCGCACTCATCTGTTACTCAAATGTACGAACTTTACATGTCGCTAGTAATCAACGTAGCAGAACAATTGATGTAATAGTTTGTGACGGGCAGTGCAGGGCGAGAGGGAAGATAAAGAAATACAGCTGTGTTGCGATTCTTTTTACCTATGGTCGCGTGCAAACTAAACGTCTTGTCGCTTACATACATCGTGAGGGTATCCCTGAACGAGTACTCATGTCAGTGCCGTCTCTCAATCGATTTTGCATTCGACACCACGTTCCGACCTGAGACGATAGCAAAGGCAAGAAGAGTTTGAAAGTTCCGTCGCAGGTTCGCTCCTTGTTTTCTTCGCCCCACGTTGTATCACAGTGTCGGCTATCAATTGTGGCTCTTTCAACACCATCGCTACTCACTCAGCAACCAAGTTTCTGTCGACATCTCAGGCTATGAGGTATATGTATTTTATTCTTCGCTATGCGTAGTGTGTGTCGTGCTACAACCACCACGCAGTGAGAGGTTGCAGATGCCGAGAAAGTATTTTAGGTGTGATGCAAAATCCCATACCCATGGGTCTTCGAATGGAATTTTATGAAAAACAAACCGAACGAGAACTTTGTTGTGAATTTGCGAAAATCAATTTCACAACCGCCGTTGCTTCCGAAATGTGAACCGGTACATTCCTTTGTATGGTTCACATTCATTCAACATGTGAGTCATTTTCGATTTGTGAACTCTGGAACTTTGAACTTTCACTCGAAGATTTCGATACTTTCCATATACATATACATGCGGTTTCGTGTAGAAACCGCACATAGATGCCCAGCTGGCGGTGTCGCATAGGTGTTGCAGAGTACCCGTGGGGTGCTCTTGGTACCACCTACTTTCCCATCGCCCCTGACGTTTCCCACTCGTGGCCCCAGCATGGTTGCGCATTCACTCCCGCCGTTTGTTTGAGGGCCCGAAAACACTATCATCACAGATATTTCAGGTGGAAAGTACCGAATGCGAACTACTATTTTTCTCACTGAACGCATTCAGGCGGGCGACGGGAACGGGTGCATCAGGGTTATGCGCAACCCCGCTCCCTTGGGCGGCGAGGCCCGGATGAACTGGGGGCACAAGTCGGCGAGTGGAGTGTCGGGGGTATCGTTTCTCTGCGACGACCGCAGGCTGGTCTCCGTCGGTGGCACATGTGTCTTCGTCTGGAGGCAAGTGGTTCTGTACGCGGCCTGCAACTGCTGTCATCGACACGTCTCGTTGTCGCGATACGTCTTGTTGTTGTTGTTGTGTACTTTTCCAGCAATACGCACCCATCGCGCCAAGCACGGAGGAGCAGCTCGTCTCGTCGAAACATTGCCTTCGACACCTGTGCGTTCAAGGTGCTGTAGGAAAGTCTCACCGCGACTGTCGTGAATGCTTGTTTTTGGATGCAACAGGCACGTGCGGCGTCCATCCTCACACGGTGAAACGAGGCAGAACAACGACCGCGACGACTAGGATCGCCCAAGGAAAAGCAAGAGGCAGGGCCGGTTTAGACCGCTGCCGGACGATGGTAACCAACTGCACCAAACCATAGTAGCTTTGTTCAGCAAGAAGTGATACAGCTGCGCGTGCGTGTATGGCGTCTGGATGATCGATGGTGGAAAAACGACAACCTTGGTGTACAGAGTTCACTGCCGCCATCATGTTGGCTCGAACAAAAGCAACTGTCTATTGCGGAGTTTCACGTACGTGGGGAAATCCGACATGAAATCCTCACACAGCATTGATCTTGCATCGGTAACTGCCCGCGACCAGACGTGCATTGAGGGGCATGTAGCCACTAGGTATCCGTTGGTGGGTGGGGTTCAAGAGAACCAGAATCGTATGTACAGCTTCGCAGTCCTGTGCACCGTTTTGTGGATGGTTTTCGAACGGCTTTGGCAGTATGCAACGGGCTCGGCAAGAAAATTCAGATACCCTGCGGACCTTGTTTGCCCGAGCTTGCCGAGGGAAACCTGATTGTTACTGTTGTACAGCTGGGCATTATCTCCGCAGTGAACCAACAATAATAGCGTTCCCACGTCGTTGTGGCAACGTGATATGGATGTATTTTCCCGAAGTGAAGAGAAAGCACAAAGAATTGCCTCGGAACCTGCAATATTGGTGCCGGTGGTCCTGAAGCTGCCCTGGCCGACCAGAGATGGGTAACGTAAGAGTTTCTACTGCAGTCAACCACACAATCCATAGAGAGGCCCTCGCCGCGTGTAAAATACCGCTTACGATACACACATTTCACTTTGACCGAAATCAAGGAGCAGCCCGGAAGGGTGAGGCATCCCAAAACTGTAGCGCCAATCATGGTCCTTGTTCATCCGTGGATCAAGCGGTTCATCGGGCACCCACAGGAAAGAAGCAATTGACACGTCTACGTCACCCTCCGAGCGTATCCACCCCCTGAGCCACGCTTCGAGTCGATCGGAGTTCTTCCCAAATCCAAACATTCGTCGTAAAAAGAACGCTACACGACAGCCAGAGAACCCTGTCACATCATGGCACCATCGCCAATCCTGTGAGCAGCTTCCTTGGATGACACCGCTCCGTGAGACCTCGAGCACGCCACGACCTCCGCCCATCCCGGAATCACAGCTAATAGCCGCAGAACTCGATGTCACCTCAAAAACGATGCGTCGTGTCTCTCACGCAACGACAGGATTCAAACGGGAGCCAGGGTTCCCTCAAACTGATGTCTAGATGGTGACGATAGTTGTCTAGTCAGTGATATCCCGGGAGTTCCAAGTCGCCCGGAACCATGCCGTAGCACTCGCCACTGTTCCAGGGTTGAGGTTGAAGGAAAAGGAGAGCAGCCTCAGGTCTCCGGTCTCGTCGAAATCTGTCATTTGCAGCGGAGGCCTAGACGCCAAGATCTCTTTGAATGAGACACCCAACTCGTCTGGTCTATGGCAAGCAGCCTCCGGACTGCAGAAAAATCATACAGTTGTTCTGAAGACGGGTTGCCTTCCGTAACCTCGCCCACCATCTTTGAAATCTGTGCCTGTGCGTGTCTACACTAGCAACTGTAGATTGGCATGCCATCGGCGCGCTCGTTGTCGCGGACTTGTTCGATGAGGCCGACGATGCAAGCTGCTCGGAAAGGCCTGTCAGGCGAGTATGCGCAGTGCGAACCAGCGTTGGTTGAGGTGACTACATCAGCAGCTGGAGAGAGGGAAATTCAAAGCGTAGTTACGCTCCAGATATGCTCACAATCCCAAGTACAATCTCAACTTGGAGTAGACAGGCGTTCCGAGCAAAGCTGGCATATTGCACAGGAAGAGCCTGAACTTTTCCCGAAGGAATCCTATAGAGAGCCATCTTTCTCACCAAAACTCTGAGATGATGGCCCATCTAAGGAGTTTGCGAGCGTCGTCGTGGCTGATGCGAGGAAGGACTTTCAATGCCACCGACCGCTGGATGGAATGTCTGGAACCAGGCACATGCAAAGGCATAAAAGCGCAGGACACGATCTGATGAAAACACAAGCATGTGAAGCCTGAATATAGCGACCGAAGTATCAAACTATCGTCACACTTGAACAAGGTACCGCAAGTGCTCGACCTCTGAACGACTGGTTTTCATTATACATGTCGCCGAACACGCCCAACTGTTCTTGGGGAGGATTCCGTGGGTGTCCTCGCTCCGTCACCGGTCAGGTGAGGACGAGAAATACAAACAACCCCACAAACTGAACACATGGGACGGCAATAAACCAAGTTTGAAGTTTTCGGCAGGCACTCGTACGTAGCAGAGTCATTTTATCTTGCGAGGAGTAGTGTCGATCGCTCGCACCGGCTTCCAGTTCTCCGAGAGTGTCGACTATGCCACATGATTCACTTCCCCTCCTCCCCCGTCTACCGCTCCTCCTGCTCCCCCTCCGCCCTCTCCCGCTCCCACTTCTTCTCTTCCTCCTTCTCCCGACGCTCCTCCATCTCCCGCTCCCCATTCTTCTTCTCCCCCTCCTCCCCCTTCTTCCCCTCCTCCTTCTCCCGCTCCTCCTGCTCCCTCTCCTCCTTCTCTCCCCTTTCTTCTCCCCCTCCTCCCGCTTCTCCTCCTCCTCCCCTCGCTCCTCCTTCTCCCGCCCCCCCTTCTCCCCCTCCTTCTCCTTCCCTTCCTCCCCCGTCTCCCACTCCTCCTCCTCCTCCTCCTCCTCCTCCTGATCCCTGATTAGCTGCCACGTGTTAGCGCGGAGAAAAACTATGGGAATACGGCTAAGAAACATTCATCGCAAGCAACATGAAAAAAATCTCACAATATGTACAGCGAAAGCGAGAACGGCAGTTGATAACATTGCTTGAACCGACGAACAGTACCTCCTAAATCCTCTTCGTCTTTTACTTTACCCTACTTACCAGGGTTGCTACACGCCTTCAGCATAACATCGCTGAGGATTTTACGGTCTTCCATGGTGCCGTCTGGAATGAAGAATGGTACGTAGATGATCTTCTCCAGATACTCCGAGCCAGAAACCTTGAATACCGGACATTCACCAAGTACGGTCAAGGAGAAATGAACATATGGCGAAGAAACAGCTTAAAGTTAGTGCACGTCCTGAAGGACTTGCACCAAAAATGAACGATCGACTTCGATGCTTGATTTGCAAAACTTGGCATTTCACTCATACACTTACCGGCAAGATCCAGTACTATTAGCCATATACCTCGATCAAATTTCCCCTTCTCGAATCCGCTTTCAAAACGGAGTAGGATGTACATCCGAAAAGGTTCAAACGTGTACAGTGTTTTTTTTCCATGACAACGTGTGGCACAGAAATGTTTCTTACCCGTTGACGCACGAGGTCGTCCATCCCGGCCCCAATTGCAGCAATCACTACTCGCGAGTCTAATGCCAAAATGAGGATGAAGTTGGCCTGAAAACAGGAACAGGGGTGTGGCGCATGTAGCGACAAACATAATTGACTGTACGGGCAGTGGTGTTGAAGCGGCGGGATTTAAACTCGTGAAGTAGGTACCATTCATACTTTCCGCAAGGTCTAGGAGATGCTGCAACTTGCCCGTAGCCTTCCAACCACTATATCTGGAACAACCTGCACGGCAAAAAACAAATGTGGGATACCCGGTACCGTTCGCCGTCTAGTCCGCGCACACCGCATCTGATGTGCGCTAACTCACCCCAGGCTTTTCGAGCAAAAAATGCACGGCCTGTAGCACCTGCACGATATCGTCGTGCGGGCACCGGTCGAGGTTGTCGATGCTCACGACAAGGGCAAACTTCTCCTTCTCCGTGCCCATGTCCTTGATCATGTCGAGCAGTAACTTTGCGGGCGGCCGAAATACGGGTAGCAAATCGGTCGAATGTCAAAGACGCGGGAGCGTCAACACATGCAGGCCTTATGCCAGTCCCAGAGAAAGTCTAGAACGCCAACCACGTAGCTTCTGCCTTCTCCACAGTTCACGCCCGACGGTGTACACGGGGCACGTGCTGAGGTCGACAGGCTCTGACGAAGCGCGAAAGGAGGACATACTGCTCTTCATGATTCCCGAGAACGTGCAGTTCAACTTGGCGTGCTTAAACAACGCAAACAAACATCCACGGAATCACGAGAGACTTTGGGGACGAAATCCCTCAGTGTTTCTCTAACTGGGAGGTGCCGGCACCTGCAGCTCCTCCTCAACCTCAGCCATGAACCCGAGGTGTGATGACCCAACGCTTTTCCCCATTGACCGAGCTTGCGCCAAGATGTTTTCGCCTCGCCCCTGAAAAAAGAATGGCAGCGCGTGGGTGTAAGAAGAATCGGGAATTCATAAGTCGGAATTGATACTGACTACACGGAACTGCCTTCATTGGGGTAGTAAATGTACAGGGGCACGGGGACTAACCCGTCCGCAGGAAATCGACGAAGTAATCGAACATAAGAAAACTCGTGTGTAGACCTTTCCATTTTGTTCTTGTCCACAGACTGCAATCTTAGCGGGGACACGGTTCATCTTTCCTTGTGTTTTTCCTCGAGATGATGGTATATGATAGGTTGCATACTGCAGGCATCTAACAACTTCATCAATCGCCCATCGATCCGTACAATCAATGGTAAACGTTGAAAAAATTGTCATAAACATCGACTAGTCGGTCAACTTGGAAACGAAACTCTGCGTAGTAGGAAATATTCGAACATAGTCACTTTGAGAAGCCGATCTTGGACACGCACACTGAACGGACGCACCTTGATTGCGATATACAAGACCCGCGGGACGCCACCGTAACCGAGGACGTTTCCGACATCCTCCCACCCGACCTCATCGGCGATTGCTTGAGCGACGGCTCCCACGAGCAGCGTAGCTAGAGCCGCTGCCGCGCACACGTCCAGCGTTGGGTCCCTGAAGGCGTTCCGAACTCGAGCTCTGCGGACCGAGAACTTCCCGAACCTCGCCTCAACCTTGGTGCGGCGAAGCAAAAGTCAGCAGAGATAGTTATTTCCCCAGTCCCGGGTCCGTGAGTTCCTCCTCGATCGAACAAATGGTGAAACGACTCTCTCGCATGGGTTACACGGCCCGTGTCCAGCATGCACAAGAACACTCATGTTTGTGCGTACCTTGACGAAAACCCCACATAAAAGGCGCGCCCACAACAGTTGCGTGTCTGCGTATAGCCAAGCGTCGAAGCTGGCCACAACGCACGTCGTCTTTTTTCCGTCGGACCTGGGGCGCTTCGTCTGCTGTTTTTCGATGTCAGTGCTGGACTGATCGTTGTCGTTGCCGTCATCGTCGGAGCGCAACTTGTTCCGGACGATATTCAGGAGAGCGGTCTGGTCACCCAAAAGCACGCCATGGGCAAACCGCCCGAAGAAACGCCATATCCATCGAAACCAGTGGGTGATACGGGAGCCAGCGTGTGGCCAGTCAGAAAGATGTTCAACTGCTGCGCCAATCGTTATAAAAGAATTAAATTTCTCTCTGGGGAGGATTTGTCGTGTTTTTGGTAAAGGTGATAAAAACTCCACCAATTGCGATGTCATGGTCTCACCTTGCCAGCCCCCCATTGGGCAAAGACGCCGATCCCGACTGGCCACGGAGTTCCACACCGAATGTGCTCGGCGAGAACGTCCGCGTATGTGCCAAAACGTAAAGAGTCTTCGGGCTTTGCTACCCAGTCAACGGGGGCTTCGAGCAGGGGCCACGGTTGTTGCCAACGCGGAGACCCTCCTGAAAATCGAATACCGCGGGCAAAAAAAAAAAATGTTGAGCACTCCGAATTACGTGGAATCGACATACCAGTTATTGCGTCTGATAAAATTCCTGAGATGACTCGCTCTTCCTCCATCAGTGCCGCGCCGGGCATCATGCCTAACCATGGGATCGATTCGAGGAACTATCTGATTGCACCTGACGCAAGGAGGGTTGTATTGGACACGGAAACTCTACGCGTTCGCCGCCCCGATTTGAACCGATAGCCTAGACAGTGCATTCATGCGCGCAAGACAGCCCTGAGTACCTAACCCACCATATCTATTGCCCCCGGACAGCAAGGTCCAACAACGCAGTAGGCACTGCCTTCTACCCCGTTACGGAGAACACCTGTGGGGGACCTTCGCTTGGCGTGGAGGACAACACGGACCAAAAATGCCCCCCTTTATCGAGAAATGTTTTCGTGAGGTTGCTGTACTCACCTGCTTCCTCTTCCGGCTGTTCTTCGTTTGAGAAGTCGTCCTTCAGCCTCTCGAGTTCATGCGTAAACCCTGAACGGTAAGCCCACCTGTGCAGCTTGCTTTTTTAATCCAGAAGGTCGCGATGAGCTGGAATAGAGGCGGCAGAGCACACACAAGAGCTTTTCCAGTGTGACGAATCAAAATCCAACGGCCGTCATTCCATACAGAGGGGCACATGCTTCCATCAAGTGCTTTGGGCGAGTCATTCTTCCACACCCGGCGATTGCTTTGCCGTCGATGTCAACGACGACTGCTGGTGGAACCTCCAGGTACCCGGCCAGTACGTAGCTACCCATACACCGTGGTTTCGACAGGGGATGCCACTCCCGAGTATCAGGCGTGTCCAATTTTCAATTACCTCGGAGAGCAATGTTGCCGCTAACTTCAAGGAACTCCATCTCGGTCACGGAAGCCATCTCCGTCGGAATGGGTCCTGAAAACGTGGTAGAACTCAACAGGATGTGCGACGCCCGCTTCAACACAAGCAAGAAGAACTGCCTGCAAAACGCACGGTCCAATAGTTTCACACTTGCTCCGCGCGCGGGCATCGTACAAAAACAACGGCAGACACGGTTGGGTTTGTATTCTCCGCCATATGAACTGCACGTCATGCTCTCGGCGTCTGGTAGTTACCCTTTTCAAAGAACATAGAGACGTCAGTAGAACACGTCGCAGCAACGAACATTCCAGCCGACCCTCTTCCTCGAGGACAAGATCCAAGTCTGGTGAACTATGAAGCTGCGTGCCTGTGATTGACCCAGTCGGCCCTCCATTCACTCTCGAGCGATTGGCCGCCGGCAAGACGTAGCCGTACAGCCTCCTCCGAATAAAAGTTCGCCATAATAGGGGGCGGATGCTTGCCAAAAAACAGTTCGTCGCCGGCAATGTCATACACCAATTAATTAGTCTGGACAAGAAAAAATGCCAACAGCCCGCCTGGTTTGACAATTTCTTCCCGAGTCGGATCTCGTATCCTAGTATCAAGTCGCCAAGATTCTTCACCGGTACCATGGTGTTGAGGTCCCTACCAAATTGGTCACACCTCTCCTCCTCCTCCCCAACCGAAAATATATCATCCACCTGTACTACCAGAGTCACTACCACTCTTCCCTCCTCGATCAACCGAAACACACACGTATCCGCCAGACACTGAATAAAACCCAAGCAAATCAAACACCTCGCCAAGTGTGAATGCCATTGCCTTGATGCCTGCTTAAGGACATACAGACTCTTGTTCAACATCACTATCATACCTGACAACCTACCACACCCCTCTGGCAGACGCATGAAAACATCCTCATCCAAATCCGACTAGACAAATGCTTGCTTGATGTCAAAATGACGAAGAGAACGATGTTGCTCACATGCCATCGCTGCCAACAAGCGAACACTAGAAACCGCTACAGTCGGTGCATACGTCTCTCCACAATCTACATGTACTCGCTGCATACCTCATTTCGCTACAAGCCGTGATTTCACACTGGTCGGCCGTACATACTCATCATTCCAACTAAACACCCACTTGGCCTTGTTAACACTCCCTGGTTGCTACATTACTTCCTCAAAGGTACCAGCCTCCACTCTACGTACCACACATGTCACCCGATATTCCGCTCTACCTCATTCCATGGGAACATCCCGTACCAACCACTTGGCATTGCTACAAGTATATCTATCAGTCAACCTCCGTGGAGATTTGTGTCGGCGGACTCTTGCACGAGGACGAAGAGCTCCCGGAGGTAAACGAAGGTGTTTTGGAGAAATATATGTGGAAATTTGGTCGGAGAGACCGGAACGGAAAGCACAGTATGTGAGCAGATGGGAGTTGCACGGGGCCTGCACCATCCAAACAACGCATACCGACGGAACCACACTTGAACATACTTCCCAAAGTGCCAACCAATCAGATGACAAGGTCCTTTGGTAGAGATCGGCCCATCGTACTCAACACAAGGTTGGCCAAGCAAATGCTTCGCATCAACTACATAGTCGCCAAAAACAATAATTTCTAGCGATGCGTACTCACGTGTACAAGATAAAATTCTTACGTGCGCCGTATGATTCAGCAAGCTGTGAAACTCAAGTATGCTCACCATACACATGTAAAGAAAAATTCAAACTTCAACCTGGTGAAGTTTCTTCTAGAAAATGACGACCAAAAAGGCACCCTGCTTGCCCAGCAGTACATGAAACAGTAGAAAGCACGACTGCACTACTACTGCGTACCTTGACTCGAAGGTTTAGTGACATTGCACTTTGTCGCTGTCACCAAGTCATCTCATGTACGATGCGATATAAACATTGGATAGACCCCCTCAATGAAGAATTGGCCAAGGATGATTGGTACTTGCAATACGGCTAAATACCCCGGCTCATGAATTGGCAGGTCACGACCAAGAATAAATCAACCTTCGCGAAGGCACTACACAGCACGTGCCCGTAAGAGCCAGAAGCTAAGCAGGGCAAACAACAGCCCAAATACAGAAGCTTGCAAAATATCTTGCGTGCCAGCGTAAGCGTAGTTGGGCAGCAGGCGTTCCGGCAGCCTTTGTTGGTCTCGGCAACTGAGTGCCATCTCTTCTCTTGAGTCTGAAAGACATCATGGTCTCCTTGAGAATAGGGGGGGGGGGGGGGGCGGGAGGACAGCGGCTGGGGCAGCAGCAGGAGCAGCAGCAACAGCGGGAGCACCATCTCGACGAAAGATCGCCCTGAACATATTCAGGGCCGCCTTCATCTCCTCGCTCGTTGTCAGGAACAGGTACAGGGCAAGCACAATGGAGCCAATCGCCAACAAGGCGCTCACGGTGAAGCGCATGGGATCCCCGCCGAACCGGAAGAACACGTACGTCTGGAATGAGAGCTGTGGGACGCTCTCAAGAGCCGCTTCGACGAACTTGATGCTGTTCATGTATGACTGCCTCTGGCTTAGTTTCTCCTCCTCCTCTTTCAGGGATTGTTCCGAGGCTCCTCGTAGCGCTGGTGTTGTTCGTGGTTGAGCGAGGTGGAGCCCATCAAGAACGCAAGACGGACGGCGATATGGGAGAGGCGTGTTGCGCGTTGTGGACATAGATTGACAATGACGCTTGAGCCCGGCGTTGACCACGCATTGTCAAACCCGTGCACTCGCTCACCACAAACGGGAACAACCACTGGGGAATCTATCGCGAGCAAATATGGGCCCCGTTAACAACGGTCCGTCGGGAATTCTTCACGACAGGATGGCACAGCTCATGCAAAAGGCAGGGACATGGGGACAACGCTTACTCGCGGCACCAAATGGGAAATTTTCGTTCATGTCACCACAAGAAGCTACAGTGCAGCTTCTAGGTGGTATCCTGCTTGCCAGCGAGGGGCGGGTCATGTATCCAGGATTTGTTTGACGGTTTCTTGGCAGTCAAAGCGCGGATGACATAAACGGTCAATGGGTCGCGATCGATCTATCACTTCATGTGAACCCCCTGGGAAGACACGCAAGCACGTTGCGCATGCCGTCAAGGCACGTCGAGGTGCTGAAGCTCATGTTACCTTTCATGAAAAGACCGATGTTCTGGCAAATGACGACCCAAGTTGCGCCCACAATCAGGATTATCGCCCACCAGGAGAACAAGACCAGAATAAGTTCAAACTTCAGCAAGATCAGGAACCACGTACACCAGTTGTCTTCGTTGTTGGCGGCCTCGAGCCAACCCTGTCGACCAATCGACGTTCGCGAGTACAAGGGACAGTTCCAACAAGATCATCACACTCCAACGGGTTACAATGGGCACGGACGATCGTGAGAGTACGTTCAAACAGACGAACTCGAGTGATTCGCGGGGCCGTGGTTTCCCCGTGCTGCGGGGTGTGAAGGTTTCGGGTCGCTCTTGATCCACATACCCTGCCGGCTGCCACGCGCACGATGGGCGTCTCCAAGCGAACCCGAGCAGGCAGGCGATCATTTCCGTCTGGTCTACAACCTGACGGGATACTATTGGCGAAAGAGCCCGTTCCTGACACCGTGGGGCGACTCCCAAAAACTAACGACGAGTCTTTACCCACCGCGAACAGCGACCGAAGCCAGATGGGCAGGAAGGATCCGAGACATTTTTCTGCTTCCTCCCCGTCTTGCTTGGTCGCCATCCCGGCGCGAGCGGAATTCTTTGGTTCGTTTGCCAGGCTGTAGTGAGAGGCGATCCCAAACGGGAAGACGTAGAGTGGCAGTAAAACGTTCTTGTCCGGCGGGGGATGGAGAGCGGCGAACGTGACCACGAAGCGGCAGCTCAACAAGAAGAAGACGACCAGCAGCGTCGTCCACAGCGGGTGCGAGTCCTCCCAGTACCCGGAGATGATGTAAAGGTCCGACCCGACGTCTGCCGGGGACGACAACGCAAACACCGACAGACCGAGCCTCGTGCACATGAACACTGTTGAACACAGTAGGAAAAGTGTTCTGTAAGCTGCTGAACGATAGGATAGTGGGAGTATTGGAGAAGGAACATAGCATTAGTGAGGGCCAGGCAGGTTTCCGCAAGAAGAGGGGGTGCGTAGACCACG